ATAATTTAAAAGAATCCGTCAACAAAAGAAGAACGCTACAGCAGTACTCAGAACAAATCAATTACAGATACAAGTCAGGAAGGAAGGACATCACATAACTAACTGCACTGGAGAAAGGGTGAAGTTAATATTAATATGAATTGAGTAATAATGTTCAGTTTTTTTCCGGTGCTTATTGGATATACAATGATTTCATTAAAAAAACAAAAAAACGTATCGCCAATGCTTCTGTGTTTATAACTGAAACCAAGGCTTAGGTAATTTCTTCCATATAGCACAGTAGTTTTGATCCTTGCTAGACAGTCACATTACAACGGCAGAGCACCTAAAGGGTTTACAGTTATTATTATTGGCATTAATTATACTAATAACAAAATTTGGAGCTATATGTTGTTAAATTTTCTGGTGCTAAGAAGTTTTGGGCAAAACTAATTAATAAAAAAGGCTTTTGACATACGAAGTAAAGGGATGAATGACTCAAACTTTGTTGAAAATGAAAAACGTTTTTGAACGTAAAATATATAAAATATGCTTCGAATAAAACTGGCAAGTGTTGTTAGTCAATATTCAAACATTATTAAGAATTGCTGAAATACGCATGAATATCTCAGACTATTTTAAAATAATTTAAGTTTGACATGTTAAATTATCCTTATCATAATATATATATATCTAGCACATTAAGGACAAAACTTTTTATGAGTATGTCTATACATTATTCTTGTTGTGATTTTCATAAGCATATTAATCGTTTTTCAGCCTTAATATTACATATATAATTTTCCGTTAGTAGTTTTTGAATAGCTTGGGGATTCTTTAATTTCCCTATTTCTGAATATCACGTTTTTATTTCTTAGTACTGGTGTTAAAAACTAGAGTGACACTGTCTAAAACAACTTTATTTTTATCAACAGACCTCGTTTCAGATAATGTACAGAAATGTGTTTATTGATAGCACATGATGTCTGCATCTAGTATTTAACTTTCATATCGAATTTTACCTTTAACTTTCTAAATTCTAAAATTTACTTAATTGCAAAACTATAACTGGCGAATTTCATAGCTTAATATTCTTTTTATACCTTAACTTTTTGTTCAATATTTCTTCTTACTTGTGGGAAATGTTTTAACGACTTTGTTTGGTTGTAGTTAAGCGCAAAGCTACACAATGAGCTATCTGTGCTCCGCTCATCACGCGTATCAATACCCCGTTTCTAGCGTTGTAAGTTCGCAGACATGCCGCTGTGCCACAGGGGGGCAACGACTTTGTATATGCTTTGATCTGCGACACCCTTAGTAGCCTACATCAGTTGTATTTTTTCGTCGACATTTATAAATATTTAGATAGACATTTATGTGATATTGATTATTGTAAATTAACGGTTAGTGAGTGTAAAGCCCAAGTTTAGCATAAATTAAGTTATAAAGCCCAGCTTTATAGATGATTGGTCACTTTTATGCAGTTGCCATCCATCTACAACTAGTAAAATTCATTTTATTTATTTATATTCAGTCAGTTGTTTTCTAAATTGTCATGCAGGTATGATATCCTTGTAAACCATATGTATAAATGTTGTGAAATTATGTTAATTCTCTAGTTAGACAAACGCAATACCACAATGATTGTTCTGTAAAGCTTATTTGCTTGGACCTGGGGTGAAGTCATATATTCATTTTGAGATTTGACACAGAGACTTGTACAAGTTAGTATGTTTTGGAAGTTCTGTCCCCTTTGCTCCAGTAGTAGATTCAATCAACAGCAGACAATGAATTCAGTCAGTTAAGTCAATACTCACACTGTTAGTGAATAAATGTTTTGTTTTATTTTACCACACGTGTTTACTTCAATTCTTTACTGTTTATGTTCTTATTTTGTGAACAGAATTTCCGTAACCTGCTGTACTGTGGATATTTGATAGTTTTCTGTCAGATATCAGGATACTTGATTACCACATAACACATGTTTACTGGCATTTGCAAATGATACCAACTAAATTATGTAAAAATCGATTGTTCAATCCGTATAACTGTACAAATGTAGCATAATTTGTAAAATAATGGGCATCAGATGAGCAAAGATTTCTATCATCAGGATTTATCGACAGTGATAATCGAATAATAATTCATCTGCTATTTGTAAAATTGTGGCCACCTAACACTGGTGACAAATCAATGAAAAAAAAAAAATAGGACAGCAAAGTACAAAAGCCATCAGACTTTTACCAGTTGACTGTTTCCTTCAATCAGTAGTCAAAATCTGACTGTCTAAAACTGTACTCAGCGATGGATGTTGCAATGATTATCATAGGGTAAATGATGATAAGTCCAAAAACTGTTTATCTACACGTAAGAAGAAAATAATGGCTTCTGTGGTGCTAAGATAGCAAACTATGAACAATGAATGCTTGGAAGAACATGGTGTGTTTGGTGAATCTCGTTTTTCTGTAGTGACACGTGAAAATATGAAGACAACTTAATAGGGCATTTGACAATTTTTGTTTTGTTCTGATATTAAAAGTTACTAGAAGTGGAAAACTGGCATGGGGAATGCTTTCGTGGTTGAGGTTAGATCCCGTCATTCCTTTGTAAGAGTAAGTGACACTTACATGGTACCTGAATGTTATTCCCGATCATATTCACTCTATAATTATACAACTTTCATTCCAATGGACATGGATTCTTACAACAATCCACTGATCTTGTATTGTTTGGATTTGGTTCGAAGAACATGTTAGCAGTTCCTGTCATCGTCCTTTACCAGCGCAGTCACCGAATCTCATTACGATATAGTATTCGTTACAATAATGACAGTGCACAGTCCCAGAGAAATGAACCTCTTCTGTTGTCTCTGCCCAATCCACTAGGCTGGATGTTTAAAGTTAAGCACAAGCTACACAATGAACTATCTGTGCTCTGCCCACCTAGGGTATCGAAACCCGGTTTCTAGCATAGTAAGCCCGCAGACATACCGCCGTGCCGCTGGGGGGCGAATCTACTAGGCTAATATCATGGCGAAATGTGGCCCAACCCGATATTTATTTGTGGGTGCCCGGCATGGCCAGGTGGATAAGGCGCTCGACTCACAATCTGAGGGTCGCGGGTTCGAATCCGCATCCCACCAACATGCTCGCCCTTTCAGCCGTCGG